CTGAAAAGTCTTTCTCATGGACCTCTTCTTGACGCAAACTTATCACCCTCGAAGATGATTTTAAGAAATGGTCTCACGCTCGAATCTTGGAACTAATCTCCCGCCTACTGAATCAGCCTCACACGTGAAACTCTCAACCCCAATTTTAAGCATACTTCGCCAATGCGTTCGGTGCACTTGCGCGGAAGGTTTTTGCAGTTTTTCTCTCCTTCCTGTTTTGTTTATCTTTTCTGCTTTTTCTCTTTTCCTAGAGGCTTGTCAGGTGTAACTCAGGCAGCGCCGGATTCGGCTTCAGTTCAGTTGCTGCTGGATCTTAATTTGCCGTTCCTTCGGCGCCCTCGCTCGCAAGACACCGTTTTTTGCAGTCTTTCCTCTCCTTCCAGATGCGTTTCTCTTCTCTGCTTTCGTTTCTTCTAGAGGCTTTTTAGGTTGTAGAACACAGGCTCTTTTGCCAAACTGACTAACCGACCGCGTGCGCCTACTTACAGCTACTTTCACTCTTGCCCTCCTCCTTTTGTTCTTTCTCCCTTCCTCTTTCTTGCTCAGGCTTGTTAGGTGGCTATTCAGATATTTTGCACGCTTCTAGCCGCGCCGATTCGGCGCATTTTGTGTGTGTCACCTCCCGTACCTAGGGTCACTATCTTTTCCACCACTACAGTATCTATACCGCAGAGTGTACAGCACCAATGCAGGGGGGCAGTGGTCCTTTCAGCAGTCACTGCCTAACAAAGACACTGCTGGTCGGATGTGATATTCGGAAAGGACGCTCTCTGAACGTACCTGCAGCTTCGAGTTATTGAAACAATACTGTTCTTGGACTTTATCGCCTTGCGGTTCTTCACAGGGCAATTTCGCAGGTCAAGGCTTGAGCGCTCTAGTCCGGTATTGCAGTAACTAACCGTCAAGTGCTAATGCTCACCGCGAAACAACTGAAGCTTAGCTCCACGGAGCACTCATTTCAAACGTGTGCTGTTATCCGCGTGCTCTTATTTGTGTCCCTTTATAGGTGTGCGTCTTATGTGATTTCTCAAATCTGTGCCGCTCTCCTGTGTGTGTGTGTGTGTGCGCGCTCGCAAAACGTGTGCTCTCACATGCGTCCTTTCATGTTTTTTGCTGGGAGAATCGTGTCTTTACAAACAGCTTTCTTGTTGCGTTGTGATGTGTGCCAACAGCAATTTTGACAATAGACCCATGATTGCGTTTTCCCGTAAAGTCTTTGTGCTTGGGATTTGGGATCAGACAGTTCATAAGGTGATGATGTCCACCTGCATCGCAATCTTGGCTGTGCCACCCTGAGGGTTGAATGCCATCACAGACACATTTTGATACATTAGATGTCAAGTTTTCAACGCTTTTTCACGAACAGCAAACAGGATCTCAAACGGGCTGGCCCGACACCGGATGCAGAAAAAACCGGTTGCCAGGTGGACTTCTCATCTCTTTTCTCCAGATCGCATTGCAAAACAGAAGAGTTTTGACCCAAGACGTGGCGTTCGAGAGTCGCTTCGAGTTCGTCGTTTTTGCTCTGAGATTCGGCTACTCGTTGATGGATGTGGGAACTGGAAGCATCATTTTCTGCAGCGCTGTCAAAGCCTCAAGAACGTTAGTAGAGGCTGTGAGATGCTGTGAGACGCCTGAGTCTCAAGGTCACACCGAAAAGTCACCGAAGCAAGCGAGGTTCCGAAAAAACTTTGTGCATTGCTGTTCACGGAAGTAAAAATGAGGGTTTGCGTTTGAGGTGATCACATGGTTGCTTTCAGTGCCATCGTGTATCCTTGAAAGGTCGCCAAAGATAAATAAATATGAACTTGTTTGGGTTTAATAATATGGTTGTATTGTTCTTCACAGAGTTGCGTGGGGTTAGTTCAGAAGGCAGGTGCGGACGATTTCCGCATTTCCGCACCCCTTTGCAAACTCTGCCCAACGTTACCGTTGCGCCGTAAGAAAGACAATGTCACGCCTCCCGTCATATTCGTTCCTTTGGCGTGTGTGCGCCTGAAACTTTGCTTTTAGAGGCCTTTCCAAAGCCAACAAATGAGGCGTGATCACTATTTTGACGATCCAACTACCACCCTCGGGGAGAGCGAAGAAAACTACTTGGAGTTTGGGCGTGGCTTTTGGGGTGTTGTGATGCAGGTGATGCAATTGACGGCCATTAGTGCATCATTAGCATCATGAGGGGCTCAGGAGGCAATCTATTATAGCGTCATCTACCAGAGGTGGGAGTTCATGTCAACGATAGGAAAGAGGAGACAACGGGATGCGAGAAGTGGTTGGAACTCGACAGGCATAGCGCTTTGGTAGGAAAAGAGGGTCTGCAAGAGATCTTGGGCTGCTTGGGGGCGCCCTTTTCTAACGGTGAAGACGCCGGTCAACAATACGCAAAAGGGCGCCCCATAGCCCCATATGATAGGGTGGGAGTTCATGTGGAAGACATGCGTAGCGGCGGAGGAGGACGTGGTGGACAAAGACCGATTGCAAGAAATCGTTGAATTTCTTGGGGTCCCCTTTTTCAGCTTGAAAACGACCTTGAACCGGGGGAAAAAAGGGCGCCCCCCCCTAACGGCCTAACCTATGTATTCTGCTTTTTAGTTCCAGCAGCAGTATGTAGCATCACTGCAATGTCGACGTCCCCCCTTAACAAGGGTGATCTTTCCCCGAAGTCAAACAATTGCATGATCTCGGCAGTAAACTTTCCTCGGTCCACTCTTAGCAGCACGCAGACTTTATGAGTCTATCTACAAGACAAGACAAGACAAACAGCAGGCAAGCGCCCCCCAGTTACTAGGGGTGCTCCTTTTTATTTTGAGGAAACGCCTTGAGCAAAAAGAAAAGGGGCACCCGACCCCGCCACCTGTGAATGAGAGCCTGTTGTGCCTTTAACTGCGACTTTCCACCTCTGCCTTTTCTTTCCCATTCCCGACAGCGGTTCCGGTGCGCTCTCGAATTCACCCCCCATAGCCATATTGATGTCTTCTTACGGAATCTGGTTTTCGTCCCCTCCCTTCTCAGGTATATTATTCTACTTTTTAACTACAAGACATGTAGATATTTTTTAAATACAAATTTGTGACGCCTACGTTAGCGTGGCGGAGAGGCCTGGGGATTTTGAAGCTTTGGCCGGCGGCATAGTTTTTTGAACAAGTGCTGAGACGGTCATAGACCATGTGAGACGGTGTTCCTAACGGGTTTTGAGCCGAATATGTTATTTTTCTTTGGGCGGGGGGTTGCAAAAGAGTCTAAAATGCATCCTTCAACCCTGATTGCGCAACTTCGTCCGGCATTTCTGAGGCCGGTACTTCTCATCGGTTTCGTCCGTGCGGCGTTCATATGGGGAATTGCACCTCGTTCAAACGCACTAGAGGGTGGGAGAGGAAATCAAATTGTTAACGAATTGTTTTTCCTTAATTTGTTTTTTTGGTTGTCCAGGACTACCATGTACCGCCTGGCGAATATGGTGCCAATCTGAATGTTTTCCACCAAATTATGATTGGTCAGATTGGAATTGCGTCAGGTGTTCATTGGAATTTTTTCTTTACAATTGCCGTGGTGAGCCTGGTCTCTGAAGCAGCGGACCCGCAGCGATCGTTTTGTGTGTTCAAAATGGATTGTTCGGTTAGAGATGTTCGAGGACTTTGCTGCAACAAGTTCATTGGCTGCTGCTTTGGTAGTGCTTGGAGCATACCAGTTCTCTCCTGAGACCGTGAAAAAATTCAAACTGTTTGTGTTTCCGATGTCATTAAGCTTTTGAGACCTGCAAGACCTGCATCACTGCTATTCTGAAGTTGTTCACACAGCTTTGGTCGCTCTATTTGGGTTGTAGAACCCTCCATCAAGCAGTTTAGATCAATTTAGTAAGAGCAGTCCCAAAGTAGCCGGAGTGAGCAAAAGCACCAGATAACGATAGAGGACACATAGATCTTTCTACGAATACATACAATTATATTTTCTTTGACTGCTTCTAGCAGACGTCTCAGAGACTCGTGGCCAAAATAGGAAGAGGAACTTACAGGAAATAGATGGAAACATTTTTTCAAATCGACAAGTACATGAAAGTGGCTTTCTTGTGCACCGTCGGGGTTGAATCCTGTGGGGACGGGGAAGATGCCGCGATCTAGTCAAACGTGTCGGTTGCAAATTGGCACGTCTTGACCATCCCCCGCCAAATAAGAATGTTCGGAATTGTCATGTTTTGGTGAAACATGTCCAGGATCGGAGGGGAGGATAGTTTGCCAAAGACTTGTAGGTACCAGGTGTGCGGTCGCGCGCTTTTGGCGCTGCGTTCCGAGTCTGTTTTTGGGCCCATTTTGGGGGGTTTGGGCGTCGATACACGGGACTGGGTCAGTCGGAAGCACCTTTCATTCGGATCAAGTTTGGTTTCGTGACTTGTGCAGCGCACGGATAGATACCAGTAACGATGCACTTTGTTCCTAGTCTAGTAGCTTCTTGCTACTAGTAGCGATGCACTTTGTTCCTAGTTTGCTTCAGCTTTTTCTGGACTTGCTTCGCACTTTGTCTTTCTTGGCAAGCAGTGGGCACAACGACTCACAGGGAGTGGAAGGTGACGTAACAAAGATGTGCTGATGTTTCGATGTTTCGTAAAGGAATCGAGGAGTACTTCCAGAATCATCCAGACTTTGATCAGTACTTGAGAAATGGAAGCGACGTTATATGGGCACCCTTCAAGCTTTGAGAGCGCTTGAACGAGGTGTGAATCCAGTTTGTACTTGTCCACAAACGCTTGCACATGGTATTTTCGTTGGTTCAAACCGAAGTATTTCTAGTTTGGAGTTTCTACACTGACAGGATCCTTTCCCGAATGCCCAAAAAGGGAGGTTGTGAGTCCAGGCGTACTGAAAGCGACCAGAAACGCCTGGTTGAAAGCCTTTGTTTTTTTCGCTCCGGAAAGGTTGAAAGTGAATCCGTGCTCGGGAGGTAGGCCGCTTTGAGCGCAAATGGCGTCCGCTCGAGGTTTCCCGCCCACACTCACTGCCACAAGCGGTTTGCTTTCCAGACTGCCGAAGTGCAAAGCTGAACCTTTCCTTCCTCGCCTCACCTGAACAAGGACGTGACCTTCCGTATCTAACATGTATAAACCCTATAAGCTCCGCTGAAAGCTGGCAAAAACGAATTGCTTTTGCCTTTCGAGGACTGCATCGTTACAAACCTTCGTAACTCAAAGCCACTGAACAAAGAAACCAGTTGCTCGTAGCCGGATTGATGCTGAAGCCAAAACATTCTTCTGTTCGCTTCTTTCAATTTGTGCAACAACATGGTTTCGAACTGATGTCGAACTCGTGATGTTCCAAACATCGTTCACAGCCTTTGCGAATTCTGCCGGCAACGTTTTTACGTGAAGTCACAGGTGTGACGGATAGAGCAACACACAATTTGTCCCCAGTGGAGACACCGCTGTGTGAAGTGTTATTTTTTTCCAGGGCAAAGCATGAAGAAGATGTGAGACACTTCATCGGAGGGTTCCTCAATCCTGTTGACGCAGTGCTACAACCATAAGTTTCTTTGAACTCACCAACTTCAGCAGCCTGTGCCGCCAAGCATTTTGAACTAAAAGACTAAAGAAAAACAGAAGCGAACGCAACGACCCTTTTAAAGGGGGCTTTGCGGCCTTGCTAAAGGGGTAGTAACAAGGGCATCGCTACTAGCTACCCTTCCTCTGTTTGGTAAGGTCGGTCGTCGGTAAAAGGCCGATACGGCGACTCGACTGTACCATCTGGTACCGGCCTGAGAAGAAAGGGTCTGACACCAAGGTGGTACCTCAGTCAGCTTGGAGGAGCAACGGCCCCAAAAAAGGAAGCGTGACTTGGTAGTCAAGTCATGTCATATTCAGTCCTTTACAGGAGGTTGTTTCGTTGACCAAGATCATTCCTGTGCCTCCCAGGAGCAGAATTTATGCTTCACGCCCCGCGTGTCGGCCTGTTTTCCGCAAACCGGGAAGGCATCCTGAGTTGTGCTGGATACATGGGTTTGAACCTTGGGAAACATAATTTTTGTGCGAATCATTTCATGAATTCTGAGGTCTACATTGGCTTGGAGTTGGTGTCGGCTCTCTTTTGAGGCGGTTGAACCAGTCGTGCTCCGCTGTCGTGCTCCGTCCACGGTGTACGCCATGGGCAATTTCGACGAGCAAAGCGAGCAACGCAGCAAAGCCTCGCTACTAGTAACCAGGGCCTTACTAGAAACAAGAAGCTAGAAACAATCAGACTTTAATTAGAGACAGACTTTACACAGAAAAACTCAAGTTATCAAGCCGCAAGAAGAAGCGGGTCGTGCCAGACGCACCGCAAGTTGCAATCGTCGCTCGGGAGTGAAGTGGCCTCGTCCATGCGTTCGGAAATCATTTCCTTCGGTCGAACGGATTTGAGGGTGGCAAAGGAAGTAGTAACAGGTGCCACGCTAGTAGTAACAAAGAAGCTATTAATTTAAAGTTAAATAAGTTTAAAGTAAATTAATAGCTTCTTGTTACTACTAGCTTCTTGTTACTACTAGTAAGGCACTTGTTACTACTAGCGATGCACCTGTTTCTAATAGCTTCTTGTTACTACTATGGAAGGTGGGCAAGATGGGCGGTGGGTGTGACTCGAAGATTCAAAGCCCTATCCGTGAAGTTGATTAGGCAGAGCGTAAGTCGAGCGAGCGGCAGGAAGAGATGGCCCACATGCGATGTAGACACGGTGTGGCGAAACAAGGATGTCAAGGTCCCATGTCTTCAAAATTATCCTAATTGCTAAATTTTATTTAGATTCTAATTACACTTTATTTGGAATTAAGTTCTATATACTGTTTCTACTAGCAAACATTGTTACTAGTAAGGCCCTTGTTCCTAGTAGCGAACATTGTTCGTGAAGGTCCCGTGTCTCCCATTGCGAAACGTCTGAAAAACGACCTGGACGTGCTCGGTGCTAGGATGCAAAGACAAACGTGGCAGTTAGAACAGGGTGAATTGCAATGTGCACGAATGCGAACAGGGTGAAACCATGCGAACTCGTATTTAGTCTCGAATGGTCCAACAATGTACACGTGTGAGCTGCAGGTGAATTCTTTTGGCTTCCGACTTGCACAAGACAGAAAGATGTTGCAATGTGGTGTTTGGGCGTCATCCCAAAATCCTGCTTTGTTGAGTGAATTGCAACAGGCGCTCTTCACCTTTGCTGTGTGTATTGCAGTTGGTGCCACAGCATGTCAAATGCCATGCCCTCCTTTTCAGTGCCATGACATATGTGCACCATACACATGTCATACATGTTGTTTCAAGCACCTTGTCTGAAATCAGGTTTTGCTTTATCGCTGCTGTTGGGTACATCACAGTTCTTCTTTTTGCAACGTGTGGGCTCCACACGCCATAGACCAAGTTCGAGTGCGGTGTTGTAACACGGTGAAGGGTTTTCGCTGAGGTCAAGAAGGATGTGCGAGACTGAGATCACATAGCGTTCTTGCTCCTAGTAGTAAGGCCAGGAGCGTCCCTAGTGGCGTTGCTCCTAGTAGCGATGCCAGGAGCCCCTAGTAGCGTCCTTGCTCAGAGTGCCTTTTTTCTGCAAGACATCGTCAAAACACCGAATGTCAACTTCAGGTGCAACCTGCCGTACGCGATTTTCATTCTGTCACTCAACTGCTGGACGCGCAATCCTGATTTTGGTTGTTTGTCTTGGAAACAAGAAAGGGACAAGAAGCTACTAGTAGCAAAGGGCATCGCTACTAGGAAGAAGAACGCTACTAGTGGCTCCTGGCCTTACTACTAGGAGCAAGAAGCTAGTAGAAACAATATTAACATCAGGAAACTTCGGAACTTGTGACGTTGTGACTTTTAGGTTGGCGCTGTTGGCGATGGTGGACGTTTTGGCAGGAAAACCCAGGCCAAGCCCTTTCGCTTTGACCAACGAAGAATAACGACATGCATTGATGAGACATGTCTCCATACTCTACAACTCTCAAGGCCGCTCATGTCACCTGTGCTGGGAGGAGTGCCGATCTGAATAACTCCTGATGTCGTAATGAATATTGCATCAATTTACATCAATTTGCCTAAATGCAATGGCCTCCAGCCAAATAGCGATGGCCTCCAACCTAATGCATATTGTCATGCAATGCATATCGCATCACTTTGGCCTCCAACCCAATAGCGATGGCCTCCAACCTAATGCATATCCTCATGCGTATTGCAATGCATAGTGCATCACTTTGCAGCATTTTTTTTTTTTGGCTCGCAGACTCAATGTCTTGTTGCCGCTTTGGGGGTGGGGGTGAGACCTCTCTCGACGACCCAAGTGGTCCGAGTGTCCTACTGCCTGCCGCTAAAGTCAGACAGCATGGCAGTAGGGAGATACGGATCCCACAGAGATCTGGCTGCCTCAAGAAAGGCTTCTCCCTCGCCAAACTCGATCTCCTCGGGGTCCGTGCCGCCTGCACTTGCTTCTTTGAAGCTGTCAACGACCGCATGCGCTATGCTTAAGCACAGTCTAGGAGGGTACTCTTTCAGCTCACTGGTTGCAAAGGCACCGTCCCACTTGCGGCCTATCGATCGAGTTGCAGGCATCTCGAACGATCTTTGTTCTTCAAGACGATTCTCCAGTGTTCGAAGGCCGTGAACCATCAATGCTGTGGGCTTCGGAGATTTTGCCCCGAACTGTCCCTGCCAGACTCGGAGCTTTCTCATAGGTAGCAGCGCCAGCATTGCACGTAAAACCCTCAAGCGCCAAATCGACGCTAAACTGACATCGTCATATGGTTCATCAGGGTGCTCGACCAAGCAGCTGGTTGCGGCAGCAATGCAGTCAAGCACTAAGATGATCGTGAATTGTAGGAGCCTTGAGCCGACAAGGCATTGAGTATGTTCTCGCTGGCTCATACCAACCAGCCCCCAGGGTTCTTGGCTGGATCGAAGAACCCTTGGCTGACTAGAACTACTCTCTTCTTGAAGGCAGACTCCTCTTGCTCGTGACCATGTTTCGCATGGCGGACCTGCAATGAGCGCAAGGATGCGACCAGCCTTGATCATCTGCCTCAACCATGACTGCGCGTGCTCATCTAGTAGGTCACATCGTTCATCTATTGCTAGGTCGAACGAAAGACAGATCACTGAGTGACCTGTCTGTCTTGCAAGCTCCTCAATCCAATACTGGACATCCGCTTCGCGTCTGCGTCCACTGAACAAGTGAAGCACATACTTGACATTTTGTTTGGGTGCTCGGTCCAAGGATAAGGCACGAAAGTTGCAATCGACAACAAACGCTATGTTTCCGCAAATGAGCCCATTCCAGTCGAGATATTCCGCTGGAACAGAAACGTGCTGCCATAATCCTTTCAGGACATCCCAAACACGGCCGAAATATCTTCTATGTTCAGAAGAACACATTGCAATGGTCCTACTGGCCAGACGAATCGTTCCTACCTGTTTTAGATACTCTTGTCCGAAAGTGCGAAGCAAAAAGGATGCTGCGGTTTTGATGCCATCCAAGAATGAATGCAATTCTTCTTCAACAGGGGCTAGGCTGAGAAGGTAATGTATTGCCGCATCCTCAAAAGCGTCAACAGTTTCGACGCAGGGAGATTCATCGTGCATCATAGGTCGGAGTGTGGACCACCATGCTTTGGGTCCTGCGCATTGCACCCCAGCTAGTGGCGGGATCTCGAGTTCTCTGGCGATTCTGTCGCCGCCAAAGTCCTCTGGATTTAGATCACTTTCCTGGATGATGTGCCAGCATGTGCCCCTTTTATATTGCCAGTGTTGCTGAAGCGCCTCACTGTTGCCATAGTATTTCAAACAGACCGGACATGTGTCTCCCTTCGCATAGTAATGTTGTGCAGAAAAGACCTCATGCTGTCGATGTTTGTGCACTCCAAGGGCTTTTAATGTGCCAAAAACCTTATCACAGAATTGGCAACGAAAAGAACCTTTGACTGCTTTCTGCACATTACCAGGTGTCTGCTCGAAAGAAGCAACTCCTATTTGTCTAAGCATCAGGAGATATCAGGAGTGCTTGGGATTCAAACTCATGTGCTTCCTGGATTCTACGGGCATAATTGCGACATGCTTTTCCTACCGTGCGTCTTCCATTCCGTCCCCCTGTCGGCCAACACCGGAACGAGTCTTTGGACCTGCGAGACCTCAGGAATGCACAACCAGTCTGGACATAGACGATTTTCTTTGAGCCAGATCAGGTCAGAGTATAGCATGGTATAGAGCCAGTTCGATTCAGCATCTAAGATTGCCCACAAGTCTGCATCGGCAAACTGACAGATCTTTTGAAACTGCCGCAACCTTTCAATTCGCAGTAATTGCCGTGGATGCAGAACTCCTAGTTTGGCTGTAATCTTCTCATTGGAAGCTTCTTTCCATTCATGTCCGTGTAAAACAACTGCTAGAGACCTCAATAGTCGGAATGCAGCAGTGTCAAAAACTTGCCATTCTTGCTGCGTTGAGAATGACCAACACGATGCATGATGGTAGAACTTAGATCTAACTCTCGCATCATAGATGTGCAGCTTGACCTCCCTGGAAATGGCACGGTTAGCAAAAACGTGCTTGCGTAAGGCCCTGAAGGCGCTTCCGGCAATTCCAGCCCTAGAACGAACCTCAGTTCGGAACTGATGAGCTCTACCAACCAAGCCTCCAAGATGCTTATAAGTCGTGGCAACATGCGCAGACCGGTTTTTGCCTTCAAAATCCTGAAATGGGATCTGGTTACCCATGTCAATTGCAACTTGACGCTTTGCCTTGGTAGCATTTGTTCCATGAAAGCTGAAGATCACTTCAGTCTTTCCTTTCCCAAGGTTTAGTTCAACAGCCAAGCTTGCAAATGCTTTTGACAGGCAGTTGCAGGCGACACTTGCCAAATCGATCAATTGGAATGGATCTGGGTGTGACACTAGCACGCAGAGGTCATCTGCCCAAACTGGGAGGCATGTAAATCTTCTGTTGTCAAGCTGAACAACGAGATCTAAATCGTTGAAGTCAGTCTTCAACTGTTTGATTGCACTCCCAAATGCGATTGACCATAAGAGGTCCGCCAATGGGTCTCCCGGACGCGTCCCAGTCATGGAACAAGAAGGCGTCTCTTGGACTCCAATTGTAGTCCATACGTCTTCGAAGAGTGACTGAATGATGTTGCCTATTTTTGTTGGCACGGAACACTGTTCGAGTGGACAGCGAGCTCTCCTATCTGCAGCTTCATGTGTTCCGAGCATGGCAGACGGTCTAGGAATTCCTGTTGCTTGTCTGATGGCCATTGACTGAACCAAAGCACATCTCGGGCCATTTGATAATAGGCTTGTTTTGCATCAAGGAAGATCACCATGGAGCTAATTTTCTTCTGATGGCAAGCGCCCTGAAACAGACGTACTGCCTGCGCTGGGAGGGATGTTGGCATGCCTCTTCGAGCTCCTCCTTGCAACGGGGATGCGAAGGCCTCGAAATAGGGCATCAGTTTCTCTCGATATGCCCTATGTGTCATTTTTGCAAGCCCCTCTTGTAGACTGATCTGCCTCCAGTCTTTTGCGTGTGGGGATATTCCATTATTCTTCGGGATCGGCGCAATCAAGCTGCCTTGCCACTGTAGTGGCTCTTCAAACCGAAGAACAGACTTCAGCACGAGTGGATAGGCTTTTCGTGCGAAATCTGGTGCAGCGTTTCGTAGAAGATCGATTGGGATTCCAGACAACCCTGGCGCTCTTTTTCTAGCAAACTTCAAAAGCGCTTGCTCACACTCCTGGAGAGTGGGGACATCTGCCGAAGTAAAGACTTTATTTGATTGTGCACTAGCCTCGAAACGCTGAAGTGCTTTCTCTTGGTGCTTTTGTTGCAGCGCTGTCGGGTCAACAAAGTATCCTCTTTCGGACTCTTGAAAGTGCTTTTCCCAGATTTCATAGACTTGAAGAGGCGTATTGGCAACCTTTCCGTCTGTTGTTTGCAAAGCAGGCAAACTAAACTTGGTCTTGTACTTACGAGATTTAGTCAACTTTCGAAGCCGCTGGAAGAGGATCGAGATCTAGTCCTTCTTTCGAGGCGGCAGTGACCGAATCTGACACATAGGCTTGCAACTTATGCTTTGCAACATTCTGGTACTTTCTCATCAACTCTCTCGAAAAGAGCTCGAGTCGTACCTGACATCTACCTCCTTCCGAGTTCCAGCTGCGAAAATCCGGCAGATGACAGTCCTCATGCTTATGGCACTTCCATGCTTGAAAGAAGAACCATGTCTGGCAGAAACCACGAAATGCTTTCAGCTGTTTCAGCCAGCGTTGTGCAAGACGCCTCTGTCTGACCAACTGGATAGCTTCTTGGTCAAGGAAGGGTTTCTTTGGCTGTTTCTTCTGCTGAGGAAAGTGCCGCAACATAGCATTACTCACATGATCTTCAAGCATCTGCGCATGGGAAGTGGCATCAACTTCCCAGGGAATTGGCGGAATTGACAGCGCAATTTGCTTGCAAATGGCCTCTCCTACCGGCGTGTTAATGATGTCTGTATCAACCCGAGGCTTTTTCCTTGATATGCTACGGAAGGTCTTGCTAACCCATGTTTTGAACTCTATCCCCACAGGCAGATGGTCGATTTTATCGCGGCCAGTATCGAAACAACTCAGGTCAATACTTATGCCACAAGATGCAAGATCTGAGGAGGTGGCAATGTAGTCTAGACATGATCCTCCTTGAACTTCATCTGCATCGACCGCTGTAGAGTGGGACCACGTAAACAAAGCTCGGCCCTCATCATCCTCTCGAGTTCTGATGACTAGATTTTCTGTTGGCAGCCAATCAAAGAAAAGTTCTTCCGCAGGTGAACTGACATTGTAGTTGGATCGGCTGGAACATAAATCTCCTGGTCTCAAGAGCTGTGCATTTGCGTCAGCAAGGACAATAACATGGTGACTGGTAGGGACAGCTCGTCGGACGGATTTGGTTGTTTTAGACCACCAGAGTTCCTGCACTTCTTCCCCGAGGTGATTACTTGGTGCGTGTAAGACA